CAATGGATGATGATCTGATTAGTCGACTAATCGCAAAAATAATTGGTGACTAGTCAACTATCAAAATAATCGTTTGTGGCAGCCCTAACGTGTTCTAACCGTTCCTTATGCTGCGATGATGTTCATGGCATATTTATTTTAAACACATATTAGATGTCAGCTTATCCTTTTCCCCGTACTCTGTTGGAAGACGACTTTGCAAATAAGATTTGCAGCTATCTACGCAGCACTTTTGACAGCAGCAGCTGGATTTCGTTTTCAGAACGTGAGCAGAAATAAAGCTTTTGGTGAAAGGTAAAGCGCACGCGTCTGTGGCCGATTGAGAGCTGATTGAGACACAGTGGCACGCCTTTGTAACCTGTCCAGGCTAAATGTGAGAAGCGGCCAGATCCGTAGGCTGTGAGATTTTGACACATCTCCTGTGCTTTTGGCACCTTCAGTGCAGGTGTCATCCTGGTTTCCAGCTGAAGCGTGATGGGAAGACATGTGTGGATATAGATGAGTGCACAACCACCTACCCCTGTTCCCAACGCTGCATCAACACACACGGCAGCTTCCACTGTCTCTGCGTCGACGGCTTTGAGCTCAGCCCCAATGACCCCACTGTTTGCAAGTCCACATCGGGTAAGGCACACATACGTGAGTTTCAGTGCGTCTTCACAGCAAATGCACGCCTAAAGCAGTAAAGTATGTTTTCTATGTGATATATGTGTGTAGATGAAGAGCCCTACTTGATCTTTGCCAATCGGTACTACCTGAGAAAACTGAACCTGGATGGCACCAACTACACTCTTATAAAGCAGGTAAGACACACAGATGACCGTTTAAAGAAACATTCAGTGTTTGTCTTCTCTAGATTAATTTTTAATATTGCTCCTTCCTTTTTTCCCCCTCAGGGTCTTAATAATGCAGTAGCACTGGACTTCCACTATGCAGAGCAGATGATCTACTGGACAGATGTGACCACTCAGGGCAGCATGATTCGACGCATGCATATGAACGGCAGCAGCATGGAGGTGAGCGAGAACATCTGAAATCCTTTCGTTTTGATTTAATAGTCGAGCAATATTTATCGTGGAATGCTGGATTATTGATGCAGCGAACCCGTGAGTCTCTGATTGGGAACTACATCATCATCATCTTACTTATCGATTGATAAACCTGGCAGGTTTTGCACCGAACCTCTCTGAGTAATCCTGATGGCTTGGCGGTAGACTGGGTCGGTGGAAACTTGTACTGGTGCGACAAAGGCCGAGACACCATTGAGGTGTCAAAACTTAACGGGGCTTACCGAACGGTGCTGGTCAACAGTGGCCTGAGGGAACCTCGTGCAGTGGCTTTGGATGTACGCTATGGGTGAGAAGTTACACTGCAGATCATCACCAGCTACACTCACTGTTTATATCACTTAAATGTATAATTATTTTTCATCTTAAGTTGATTTAGATTTGAATGTACAACTGTAATTTCAAGATTGTCTCTCTCCAATCTTAGTTATCTTTACTGGTCTGACTGGGGTGACAGCCCTCACATTGGGAGAATTGGGATGGATGGCACTAACAGAAGTGTCATCATAGAGGATAAGATCACCTGGCCCAATGGATTAACCCTAGACTTCATCAATGACCGTATCTACTGGGCTGATGCCAGGGAGGACTACATTGAGTTTGCCAGCCTGGATGGCAGGAACAGACACACAGGTAAACAGACCAGTAAACACATTCACTTTCTTTAAACTGTTTGACTGGTGGTGCCATATCTTCTAAAGTTATGAGATTTCAATTGTTTGTTTTTGATTGTTGTCTGAAGAAACACCGGCTGTGCATTATTACACAGTCTGAACCCACTCGTCATTTCTTTGTACTTTGCTTCTTGTAATTTTTCAGAGTTGTCTTGAAAGTAAATATACAAACTCAATTTTTGACTCATGCACTATGTTTCCAGGGGTGTTTGCATGTTTCAATAAATCACAGCACTTATTTCCAGTTTTCCCTCAAAGAAATACGGGTTGTTTCAAGACTTTTGGAAAGTACAGCATGTGAGAGTCAAAATACTCTCGTCTTTAGTGACTTTTTTTGTCAAAGACTAATTATGTAAAACTTCTCGGTAAAAGGCAGCAGCGTGCTATTAAGTGTCAACGTTTCTGTCCATGAATGGATTTAATCTTTTAGATAAATGTGTCAGGGAGCTGAGGAGCTTTAAGTGGTTTATAGATCATAACTCATTTAACAGGAAAACATGACAAGACCATAGTGGTGATTAAAGAGGGGTTAGGTTTTCCTGTGAGTAAATTTTGCAGGTTCACATGGTGTTGAAATCTGAGTGACTTTCTTCCGTACACACACACACACACACACACATTTGAGAGACACCAGGCATGAGCAGGCAGGTTGCATGGCTGTCTGCTATTCTGGAGTCCTGCAACTCAAGTCCAGAAGACACAAACTGTGAATAGGACAGATTGTTCTGGTAGGCGAGGCCTCTGAGCGCGTGCGATATCTGCATAGTGCTCAGTTGTTTAGTACATGTACTACAATAGCTGGAATTGTTAAGCGGCTTAGCATGCAGGAATTCTGGAGTGCATTGGTCATCTGCATTGATACTTCCCACATTTTATAAGTTGTGCTCAAAACTTATAGAAAGCATAGGGATAGAATCCTTTTTTCTTTGTTTAGGCATATGCATTAAATTATGGGATAGTTTACAACTTACAGAATAGACTTCCAGCAGAGTGTTGTGCTTCATGAACATTTTTAATTTAACAAGATGAATTGAAGCTTTTTGGCATTGAGAAGTCATCATAAAATGTCACTGACTTCTTTCGGCTCAGTGTTCTAGATTTAATGCATCCTATAAATTATTATTCACCCAACCCAGGATACACATATGCCATAAAACACCAGTGTGCCTCTGTGTGTCTTTGTGCAACAAGACTGTTTGAATTGAGATAAGAATGGATCAAAGGGCAATTAATGTTAATCTGACCAATACCTCAGCTCAACTTGATGCTATAAAAACCGCTGTTACATCACAACGTCAGTCATTTAAGGTGCATTATTCTTTAAAGTCAGCGCTGAAGCTACTGTCGCTTGCTGTCGAGGTATTTTGAACTTGTGCCACACACAGCATTTGCAAATTTGTCAGCGTGTGATGCATTGCCCTGGTGTGCTTCCATAACACACAAACACTGAGAGTGAGCATAAAACGTATTATACAAGAGCAGGAAAAGTGGTTAATAGTGCAAAGCCTAATGAGGTGTAGAACCTATTATATAACACAGAGATATGGTGCATGTCCGCGCCCCACCCTGCCTCAGTTTGCCATTAACAGTGCAGGATTTTATCAAAGGTTTCTCTTTGCAAAACAGCAACACGGGAGCAGCAAGAGCTTCAAATCCTGAATATGTTGACATATTCACATGTATATTTGAGATACATAACATTCACATATTTATTTGGTGACTGTATTATGTTGTTTTAAGGCATTTCCTCCAATCAGCCTCCTGAAGGCTGCAGTAGGAAACATCCAGAATGATTTGTCTTCAAATATAGATTTGCGATTTGTTTATTCTCGTGTATCCTCACAGTTCTCAGCCAAGACATCCCTCACATATTTGCCATGACACTGTTTGAAGAATACATCTACTGGACCGACTGGGAAACAAAGTCCATCAACAGAGCTCATAAGACTCTGGGTACCAACAAGACGACCCTGATCAGCACCCTGCACCGACCCATGGACATCCACATTTACCATCCTTACCGCCAACCTCCGGGTAGGAGGAGTAAATGTGGTCTTTTGAACAAGTTTACAGTCTTAGTGCGCAAACTGTTGGTATTTACTGCTGTTAAGTAACATTTCAGTATTGATGTAGTTTCTGTCTGTGGTGTAATAAGTTATTTTTAGTATATTCAAATATATTCCCTACATTCAGATCTAAAGCCTAAGGGTTTGGGGTGGAAAAAAAAAGTGAACCATGTGGTGAAAAATTTTCCCTCTTTCTATCTTTTCCAGTGCTCAACCACCCGTGCCAGATAAACAACGGTGGCTGCAGTAATCTCTGCCTCCTTTCTCCTGGTGGAGGTTATAAGTGTGCCTGTCCCACCAACTTCTATCTGGCAAACGATCAGCGCACTTGCATGTCGAACTGCACAGCCAGCCAGGTGATGATGTAAACATCATTAATGGAAAAATGGCCCATTGATAACTATATCTGAGTTCCCCGCTGTGGCCTATTTGATAAACTCCTCATGCCTGGTCATTGCTTATTGACAGTTGGCTGGCTGCCCGGTGACACAATACCTAGCTTACGCTTTTGTCAACGACAAATGAGCCAGTGAAGCCCTGATATAATGCCCTATCATCACTTTGATTCACTTCTCTTCCTGTTGCAGTTTGTGTGCAAGAATGACAAATGCATTCCTTTCTGGTGGAAATGTGACACAGAAGACGACTGTGGAGATCGTTCAGACGAGCCAGACAACTGCCGTAAGTGTTTGAAGAAGATAATTAGGACGTGATGGAGTACGACAGTCATCTAGCACGCTTTGTGCATGCTATACCTTTTGATCTTACCTCAGCCCACAATTCAACAGTGAAATGTTTGTCGGTATGATCTTGAAACACCGTGTGACTTCTTCTTCTTCTTCCACGACAGCCGAATTCAATTGCAGACCAGGGCAGTTTCAGTGTGGCACAGGCATCTGCACCAACCCTGCATACATCTGTGATGGAGACAACGACTGCCAGGACAATTCAGACGAGGCCAACTGTGGTATGTGCCTGTTTTTTTTGTAATATATTGGCAGCATGGTGGTTAGCACTGTTGCTGCACAGCAAGAAGGTCCTGAGTTCAATTCCAACATCAGGCCGGGGTCTTTCTGTGTGGAGTTTGCATGTTCTCCCCG